CCTTTAGCTATAGTATCTGAAACTAAAATAAAATATGTTTGTATAATTGTTATACCAATAAACGTGAAAACAGCTAAACCGATCGTGCCCAAAATGCTTCTGGCAACCCACATGACCCTATGGGAAGGTTTATGGATGGTTAAAAATGAAAAAAAATTGCCTAACAAGAAAGCTGTCGATTTTAAAATTATTATATAATACTGTTGAATAGCGAGACTACATTTAGCAATCTTACCTGTATTTAATGTTGATGTTATTATACAAATAGTTTTACCAATAATCAACTAATTAAGTGAAATGAGCCTGTTTACACTGCACAATTCACTTCATGTTCTATCTAAAATCATAGCTTGAGTCTAGTAGTCCAGTTTTATGGATCTTAATGCAATATTAACCAAAAGAAAATCAAAGACGACAAAACATGGATAAAGTATTTTATGAAATTTTATGTGAAAGACCCGGCGTTGCCCGTGGAAAAAAAGAAATACATTTATGAAGAAAAAAAAAATTTCAATTTTTTTAGTCTATGACACCCACCAGCCACCCATGAGTGTCCACAAAAAATGTCAGCCCAATCGGTCCAGCCGTTTGGTCAGCTATATGCAAAATATATATGAATGTCTTTTATGAAACTATTGTGTACTTTATCATTATTACTCACTTCATCGTGAATTTCATAATGAACGTGCTATAAAGTAATCATCGTGCTATAAGTTTAAATTAGCTGTACATTATAAGCAGGTGTGCTATAAAGTTTTGATTGGTTCCCGGATTTTCTCCAAAAAATTTAAGATATTTTCAAGACATATTTTTTCAATTGAATTGAAAATAAAATTGAAATCAACTTTATATTTTGACTTCTGTTTTGTTTCAAAGCTTATTTGATCTAGAAATAGCCATTGAAATAAGACAAAGTACACTAACGTTTCATAAAATTATCTTTATAACACTATTATTTTGGCACGACGTGCTATAAAGTTTTTAGACATAAATTTCATAATGTCTCGAAGGTTCTCTCCTTTTAAGAGAAAGTTTATGTCCAAAAACGTCCATAATAA